AAAAAAAAAAAAAAAAAAAATCTTCTGCCACTCCCCTCCCAAGGATTGTGCCCTTGCAGAGATTTATCTGTACCTATACAAACAAAAACATGCACATTCCATGGGACTTCCATGGGGACTGGGATTTTTGTCAGCTATGATCACTACTGAATCCCTGGCATCTGCAATAGTGCTTGTCACATAGGAGGTGGTTAATAAGTAATTAGTGAAAGAATGAATGTTTGCTCTAGAACCTGGAATTGGGTCATGAAGAATCAGTAGGAGTTTTCCGGGAAAGGTAAAGGCATTCTCAGCAGAGATAAGAGGAGCTGCAATCTAGGGAGAGATGCCTGAGAGCGGATGAAATACAAGCAGTTTGGAATGGCTGAGAAGTTGGAATTGGGGGTTAGGGGGAGCAGAAGCCAAAACTCAAAGGGCCGTCAATTTCCAACTGAGGAACATGGCCTTTTCCCAGAACTCAATGGGATAGTTCTAAGCATGGGAGTGAGCAATGTGACAAATAGACTGAATTCATCATGACCAGAGGAAGAGGGTAAGGCCTAAGCCAAGGAGATCTCCACAGAGAAGAAGGATCAGAAGTCCCAGCCCAAGAGTACTTATCGGGAACTGATGCTCTGTGGGCAGCCAGGAAGGGAGAAGTGGAGAATGGTGCTCTGTGGGTGGAAGCACTCCACCACTCTCAAGGCATGGAGAAGACTAGATAAGGGCTAAGAGATGGGAAGAGCCAGGGTTAGCTGTGGTGAAGATGTGGTCAGAGCTGGAACTGCATCCATGCTGGAGGGGTGGGAAGAGGTATCTTTGCAGCAGCAGGAGAGGAAAAACTTGGAAGGGGGTCCCAGGCAGAGCCTGTGACTGGTCCTTTGGCAGGAAGAAGATGAGCTATTGGCATCTGGGCTGGTGGTGGCCACGCCCTAGCTCTAGGCACCCCAAGCACACTCACAGCTTAGCAGATCTCTAACAGAATGTATAGCCTTGGGCAACGCACTTTTCTCTGGGCCTTGGTTTCCTGATCTGTGAAATGGGAATAATAAACACCACTCACAAAGTGGCTGTGAGGACTAGGACTGTAAGGCCACCTAGGAAATGGCCCAGATCCATGGCACAGCAGACAGGAAGTCTCCACCCACATCACACAGCCTGCAACCCCCATAGGCACATTGAAACAGTCACACGCCTTATTAAGACCACCATTGGCAATGGTCCAGGCCCAAAAGCAACCCCTATCCTAACCCCTTTCACATGCCAAGTCTGACTGAATTCCTCTGTCTGGGTGGCCTGAAGCAAAGTATCTGGAGAGAGGTGAGTCAGGGCTGACTGAGGTGTATTAACTAGGGCAGTGCTAGCTGTTATAATAAATAGGCCCTAATGTATATAAAGGCCCAAAGAGTTTTTCTGGTGGTTTTTTTTTTTTTTTTTTTTTTTTT